GCGCGCAACGTGTTTTATGGGTTTATTTTGTTCACTCAAAAGTCTCTCGAATTTTCATAAAGTGTAAATTTGATGTTAGACCGCATACCAGCGCAGATTTGCTTGGACTTTCTTTTAATCCTCTTCCAGCTTTCGTCGTTCATTAGTCGTCTACATGCTCATTCCCTCGTTCCATATTTGAGTAGAGAGGAGTATAACAAATGTTGTTTCTGCTTGATAACCACGGCAGAGACATTCTGGTATAACTTTTTTTATTTTTGGATGATCTTCTGGGCAGGTTGCATGTAACTCCTGCTCTATTGTTTGTGATGAATTTCGGAGCAATGGTCATGGCACGGCATCTTCTGAAGAAGATGAAAGGCTGTCACGTGGCTGTTACTTTCTGGCGAAGTGCTAGAATTTCTTTGACTATTGAGAACAAATGTGGCTACACTTCACGAAGTATCTCATAGGCTGTCTGTTCATAAAACCTGGGCATGTTCAGTATATCTCAGAGCTTTCTTTTCCAAAGCAGGTATGATAGAAATATACTTCGGCCTAACGTTTCGGCATCAGTGCCTTCCTCAAAGGCCTGAAAGTAAAGTAATTCACCTTTATCTCATGTGATTACTGCCCTTCAAAGTGATAGCAAAGGGTTTGAGCACACATCATGCTGTGCTGTAGAGTAGAGAAGCAAAAATGATTAAGACGTCACCGAAACAAATTTTCGATGCAATCTATTAGCAATCGCTAAGGAGCTTGCCGTGAATGATCCTCAATGACACTAAACAGATGATCCAATAATTATTCTTTGCGTCACTAAAAAAACACCACTTAACTCCTCTGGATAAAAGTATTGTCATCAAATCAACGATTCACTTCAAAAATCATAATCGGCTAAAAATCTGGCTGAAAGACGTTAACGAAACATTGCCGTAACCAAATATGCAGACGAAGATGATCAGAATGGAGTTCCAAATCATGAAGCATACAGAAACGCATGTGATCTAATGGCCCTGAAGAAATGAAAACTATGAGAACTAAAGGAAGTTGCTGCTCGCTTTTGTAGCGCAAAAAGCCAGTTTGTTTTACCGTGTCTGCTGTGAGTTCAAAAAAAGCATCATGCACGATGATTATAGCCTGGGCTTGCATTTACATGTTTAGACATAAATTCACAGCATGTAAGCAAAAAAATTTTTGGGCGTTTTTTCATCAAGCCTTGAGCGAAGTAAGTATTTGCATCTGCGATACATTCCTTAAAAAACATACTATTTTTGACATCTAACTTTTCGGTAACAAAATAGTCTTGAGCACTATATTTCAAAAATTCAATTTGGTTTGAGCATTGCAAAAATTGATTGATGGCAATGCGACTGGGTAATTTAATGATTGTTGCGTGATTAAACAAAGACTTCCTCCAAGTCGATTGGCAAAATGATCTGAAAGCTCCGAAAGCACGTTGAATTGTTATTCGACACACTTGGTCAGAAGGAACGGCCACACTTAGTCACGAGTTGCGGGCTGGTTTAAGGACTAACAAAATTTTTTGTTACAATCTGTCAAGAGATTTTTTTTTTATCTAAATCTCCAAAGCTATTTATTAGGTTGATGCAAAAGTAAAGGGCGTTTTGCGAGTTCTCACTTTGGCGTGCTATAACTTTCTAAAAAATCCATATTTCTCGGTACGACAGAGGCAAGTCGGCAAGTCCATCAGAGGCACCATACCTCTCTCTATACAGCGCACATTAACTTATGCTAACATCGCAAAACGGTGGAAAATATGGATTGATAAGCAAAAAAAAAGTTTTTTCGTGAATTTCGTTTTTAACTGATCATAACTTCCTTCAAGATTTGTCGGTATAAATGAAAAGTTGACTGTCTTGTAGCCGTAAGCTAGCAAAAAAAAGTTGAAAGGGGCTCAAACAAAGAAGACTTGCGAAAAGGAAAAAATAATATTCAAAATTGTCCGATTTTTTCGACATTTTTTCGTAGCCCTCAAAATCCCAAAATATGGAGATTTTTGATCTTCTATAAACTGAACAGCTTCCACGTTTCTGCAAAAACTGTCAACAACAGGCCCACCCTTATGCTTATAGAAATGAGCGAAGCTTTGGCGATTGCCCTCTTCAAAGGAAATTTATGGCCCACAGAATAGTCAAAACCATCACTCATGTTGAGGCGCCGAAATCTCATTCTGATTAATTTCTGAGAAAACAGTAAAGCGTGCATAACGTAGAAAATTTCTACTACAACAGTAGTCGAATTTGCAAGAGAATGCGTTCACTGGCGCCCAAATTCTGGCCAAAAAAGTAAGTGCTATGAAATTCTGGTTTCGAGTGCGGTTGTATGAAACTCTAGAAATTTTTAACGAATGCTAGAAACCTCTTTTAACCACCTTTGAATAGAGCATGAAAGAAGCTTCTTAATGGTATGCTGGTAAGTTGTATAGGGGAAACTTTAATAGAGAAAAGCTATCTTGAAAGAAGAGCTAAAAAAACGCGCATTACTTTTGCACCAACTTAATACATACAAGCGATTAAAAGAAGCACTCGCATGTGACCGATACAGGGCAAAATGCTCTTAGTGCTAAAATGAACATGGGCATGCAATGACTAGAAGAAAGCCTCGAAGAAATAAGCATATTTAACGACAAATACTTGAAATATATACGTGTGATAATTTAACAAGTATTGTAGATGGGGCGCAAACTAAAGTTAAGAGATGCGATGCAGCGTGGAGAAGAACCTGGTACATCTTATGATCACAAAAAGAAGATGCCCTAGAAAGAGAGAGTAGTGCGATTAATGTGATGCAAGCTGAATCCACACCGAAGTCTCAAGCTATACAAAGTTTCGGTGCTAGTAAAGAAGCGAAGCAAGGTACTTCACGAACGGCTACGCCAAAAGCAACAACGTCTACTTGCTACATGCAGCTTGGAGACGAGGCTTTCAAAGGTTGAATTTGAATTAAAATTCAAGAGGCAATTTAAGGAATTAGGAAAATCACATACGAATAACTTTTATATGAATGTTATAGGTGGACCAGTGGATACAGTGTTCAAAACTGCACCAAATGTCGAACTTATCTTCTGTTATGAAATGGATGATCAAGCACCGGGATACTATTAAGAGGACTACATTGTGCCAAAGAAACAAAAGAAAAGTAAACATTGACTATTACTCGTGAATTATGCCATAAGTATTAAATTACTGCACCTAATAATTCAAAACGGCAGGAAAAAGTGGACATTGAATTGAAGTATTATCGTAAATTGGATGGAAGGAAGCATCCGATGCTTAAAGAATTTGAAGAATATATTTCTGAAGCACTGGTAAACACTATGTTGAAGCCGTCTATATGTTTACGAACAAGCGCTAACTCAAATTTCGTCTCTGTTTAGCCGGATGCTTTGGCAAGGAAAGGCAATCCATTGAAAAACGATACATGGGGTTATGTGGCCTGTATAAATCGGTTTACGCTCGCAGCTATGAGTGCGCGAAAACGGTGCGTTGTTTCTCAAACTAAGAAGCTTTTTTTGGCATTCCGTATTTCCAGAATAAACCGAACAGTAACAGTCGACGATGCAATCTATTCGTGCGAAATTGTGGCATAATGAGCCTAAAAACAGAAGGATTAGTGTAAGCTCTCGTAAAAGTATGATAAAAGCTCTTATTGCCTTTAATAAGTTCATAGAGCAACGACTTGAACCAGGTGAGTGACGGACTCGATGCTTTTGATACTTTGAGCATTTTGTTACTGATTCATTTACAAGTCTTCGCTATCGATTTACAAGGATTTGACATGTTTGCAGTAGCCGGTCGTGAACGTCGCGAAGTTTTAAAACATGGCAAAAGACTATTTCTGAACTATACAGTAAGACTGAATGTCGTAGAAAAGCAAGCGCTATCGTTTCAGGGTATCGTACCCAGCAAAAAAAGTGTGTCAGTTTATCTGCTTTTTGTAACGTTATTTCATACATATAACTTGCAGAAAGGTGAACCTTACTGTGTTGCTAGAGCTGTGGTTGAGCATAAAGTAGTCGAAGAAACTGTAGAAAATAATGTAGATTTTTGAACAAAAAAAAGACTTTGCGGCCAGCACAAAACTCAATGTTATGGAATTTGTCTTTGTGCACTTTTGCGTCGCTGATTTTTACGATAACATAATTCTAGTGCAACACTGCAATACAAGCAGGAATGAGTGTATCTACAGAATGATGTACGGAAGTACTTGTCGGTCCGAAGAAGAAGATGTAACTTCGGTGAATGAATGGAGCGAACAGGGCTCTAAGAGTTCGTCATGGATGAAATTGGAGAAAGGCTTTGGGCGAGTGCATCCGTTGTTGCACCACTGATCTACTGCATAGACTAATACTTACGTACATATTTAGATCAGCAGCTATCCTGTCTCAAAAAACAGAGCTAGGGCTGCACAACAAAAGCTTCCATTTTATGGACAATATTTGTTCTTGATGAAGAGTCGAAAAAATGGATGATTATTATACAAAGTTATTAGGAAATCAGTGAGTTAAAATCAAATCAAGCATACTTTTTACACACTAGCAGGCTGTTTTCCTTTCTTGCAGCGTTATTGAAAAGCAGCAGTTAGAAGGAATGACGGAGCCACTTGCACCGTTCTTTCTACAATATAGCGGAACGCGCGTACATAAGGTGACCGTCCCTCATGTAATGAAACAGTTTTTGCGAGATAGTGAATTTGAAGATTGAACCTTTCTTGTAACACGGTATGTTGCTAACACGGAGTCTGCGTCAAATTCGTACTCAAACTGCTCTCTATCGTTTGCGATTTTTTATGCTTCAGACAAGGCATGCTATAGCAGATTTGCAGTAGGATCATGATTATCAGCAAAAAATAGATGAAAAAGATTGTGCAAATATGACAGGTATATCAAATTTAGCATAACTTACATCGAAATCTCTGCTACAGGACATTCGCAAGTAATGCAACTAATAAACTGTCAGAGACGGTACCTATACAGCTGCGCTTTCGGTTATGTAAAGATGCGGACTTTCGGACGAAAAGAGGCCGCTAAATATCCTGAACTAGTTCGAGAAGTAAAGAAAAAGTTCAATCTTGCGGAGAAAGTGTAACTGTGTCATCACAATTCTACATCTGCTAAACCCATCTTGCTGGGTTGTTTTAGTTTGGAACGCCGTAAACATCTTGCCGATTTGGAAAGAGGAGATTTAGAAAAAATGGATGACTTTGACGAGGATGATGTAGAAGAGGAAGGCGATGAGGAAGATGCAACAAGAATTCTTGTGGAAAAGAAAGGCAATTAGGAAGAAGCAACGAGAATTTTTGATGTCGCAGGAAGTAAGGGAGATGGACAAACTAAACCAATCTCACGTGCTGGTGAATTTGTGCATTTTATACGAAAATTAAGATCATAAATTTTAAATTATTAAATCTAGATACGAGACAACGAAGTTCGCAACCGCTTACGGAAACTGAGTCATCGCCACGAAAACGCCCGAGGGTGTCGTCACCAATGGAAGATGTGCCGGGAGAAAGCAAGCCGTTTGTTTTGGTTATTCTACCTTATGCTATGCATTGCAGGCTTGATCAAAAGCTCTGTATTGGACTTAGAGATGGAAAAGTCAGCTCGGAAGAAGGTGACATAGTGTCGTTGGTACTGCAAGCATCGTTGTTTTCATCACTCAAGCAATTCGATCGACCTCCAATGGACAACGACGAGGGACTGGTGCAGCATATCGTATCGTTATAAAAGATGAAGACCACAAAGAAGAAGAAAAAGAGAAAGAAAAAAATCAGTAAGCTGAATTTCAAAATTACGGCGAAAATTAGCGAAGCAAGTACAGAGCCTATAATGAGTGACGTGACAAGAACGACTACGAGTGAAGCCTCCGTGCCATCCGTGATGTAGCTGACACCACCAGATACACGATTTCCGATCTCGAAAGACGGTTTGAGCCTCTTGATCCAAGTTTGCGCTTGGAAGCTGTGAAACACCTTACACGGGTGGTTTGACAAAGATCGAGATTGTGCCCCAGCAGATCATTTCCTACGTCGATGTCATGCACAGTCTGTACAGGTTGAGAATTCATTTGTTTAGTGGAAACGACAGCATGTTTAAGGACTTTCCATGGCTTGAGGTGCGTGAGATGCCTACCAGTGGCGCACCGAGGGGGGGGGCAGGGGGGAGGGGCGCCCCCCCCCTTTGAAAGTTGGTTAAATGTATTATAAAAATGTGCAGAGGACCTGTTTTCACTTGTAAATAATTAAAATAATTTTTAAAAATTTTTAAAAATTCAAATTAGCCTCGTATAAAAAATTTTTCGGGGGCGTGGCTGCCGCCACGCCCCCTTTTTCTGAAATTTTGGGGTCAGTTGCCCGGAAAAATTTTGGGAAACATCCCAAAAATTTTTCGGAGTGCGTGGCTGACGCCACGCACCTTCATTAGAAAAAAATTTTTGTCGCCCCCCCCCGAGCCGAAATCCTGGGTACGCCACTGATGCCTACCATCAATGGACGAAGTGTTTACGCCAGTAGATATCGCTAAAGAAATGGCGGTTGCTGATTATCGTAAGAAAACTTTCTGAAATAAGAGAGATTTTTGATTTAACGATAATATTGTCTGTATTTAGTGTGGCTATCAAGGACTGGCGGAAGACGTAAAAAATTTTCTCATTAAACTTAATGAAAAGCAACGCCATAAAGTGATCAAGTACTGGCATGGATTTAGAAGAAGCGGTAGCGATTTTATCGTACTAGCACATTGCGACTCATACAAGGCAACAGCAACGCTTGGTCGACTTATCAACCAGTCGATAGCGCACGCAAACCTAGACCTACGTTGTATTCGCTTTGGCGAACGTCGTGTTCGATGTTTGCATTGTTTGGTAGCCAAAGCGATATCAAGGTAAGGTTGAGCAAAATCATCTCATACATAATGAAAAGTTCTGCGCAATGAAAATAGTTTTACAGGCTGGTGAGCAGTTACTGTGGAACTATGGGAGAAGGGAGAGAAATCCAAACATACCTAGCTTTCCAGACAATTATCCGTGTATATGTCAAGGTGCGATCCGGCTGCAGCAGAAGGTGAATATTCGTTATTTATATATTTTGTTCCATTGATAAATTTTGTATGCACACTGATTCACACAGCTCCGTATTCATTTTTACAATCGGCAAGACGCAGCATCCTTTTACAAAGAGTGTGGAATTTTGAGCGGTCTCTCTCAGAGGAGGATCTTAGCTTACATGAAAGGCCTGAATTCGACATTAGAGAACTTCTATTTCTGGTGACACAGAAAGCGCGCGCAGTAGGTTTGCTGCTGGAAAGAATTCCTGCTGACGAGAGTTGCGTTTGCAATGAGCAGGCGTACTGTTTTCACTAAAAGTGTAAGTATGCACTTTTACCCAGGTTTGGATACGACATTACATCGATGTATATAGGATGTGTTTCCGGACCCTGCCATGTTTTTGGTAAAGGTTGCATCTCCTTTGCCGCAGTTGCAAATAGCGACGGAAGCTGCTTTCAAACACATGGAATCAATTGTTCATATTCTGTACCGAAAGCGGAAGGATCCAAAACCGCTGGTTATTTTGTTAGGCGCACGCCATCTTGAGGAAAGCGGTCATCGTTTCGGCTGCTGCGTAGCAGTTGTGGGCGAAGAAGTTTACGCAGTGGTAAGCTGGTTCGCATGCATAGTCTATGAAGGATTTCGTATGGTTTTGTTTGTAGGAATGTCAGGCGGAAGCCAGAGCTAACGAAATGCCATTGCACTGGAGTTGTTATAAGCTGGCCCATATACCCGTCATTTTCCATCACTAACAATAGAGCCGTGGGAGACGATACGCCGTAAACCTAAGCTTCATGAACAAATTACGCAGCTCTTGCAAAATAAGCAGTCTCATAAGTACGCGTGCTTTGCAACCTGCACACTAGGTATCGTCGTCTCCCCGGCGTACGTTGGGCGGAGCTTCTGCGGACATTTCAACACGTTGGTGAACTTGTCAAGCCTCTACTTCAAAGCATGGTTCTTTGTACTCTCTAACCTGCCACGTTTGTATGCTGTTGTCACACGTGGCAGGGTTGGTAGCGATAGATCACAAAAAACAATGCCTCGTAGTAGAGGGTTAGCAAGTTCACCAACATGTTGAAATGTCCGCAAAAGCTCCGCCCAACGTACACCGGGGAGACGACGATAGTTGTTTGTATTAGAAGCTGTTTGATATCTTATTTGTATCATATGGCTGTCTTTAGTGTGTCATTACACTTGAGTTGTTGTCTATACATTGATTGTGCACCTTGATAATTAGGTTGTTCTCCATTCGCATCATACAGAAAGGATTACGGGGATTATTTCATGGTATTGTTGCAAAGCACAAACAGCCAACAAATTTAAAATACAGTCGTTTTTAGAGAAAACTTGTTTAGTTTTTCTCTTCGGATTTTCTCTGCATTTTCTTGCTCTTTCGTTCTTCCAGGATTTCTATTCAAATCTGTTTGCACATTATGTTTCGTATGGCACTGGCTCGCGCATTTTGAAATTTTTCATCGAATGAATATCGAATAAATTTGAAAATGGAAAATTTTGAATAAACGAATATCGAATAAAATCGAAAAAAAAAAACCGAAAAAACGAAGTATCAAATAAATTCGGAATTCAGAATTTTTTGAATGAATGAATTCCGAATGAAGTTGAACCAAAAATATCGAATGAGCGAATACCGTTTATATTCGACCATTGGGAGTCGAATTTCGAATAAATATTCGAATAAATTCTCATAACTGTAGAACCATATCTAGACCTTACTGACATATCCGGCTAAAGCCGGTTCATTCATAGTCACCAGCCTCACATCCCCCCCCCCCTGCCCGGTACCAGCTCCCGCCTTGCAGCATAAAATTTTCCAAAAATCGATAAAATCGGTAAATTAAATTTTTATTCATAATCAGCATTCTCTACCCTACTGTACCAAGCCCCAGCCCCGTAGCTCTAGCTTAAGTTGAAGCAGTTGTGCAATATGAGTTTAGCAAGCAATAGTGCTCACTAGTGTGGACCTCTGCGTACCAAAAGCATGAGCAACGTAAAGGAAGAGAAACAAGCATGTCAACATACTTCCAGTAATTGAACGTGAACCAGGACCATGAGCTCGAAACCTCATTGATCGAAAATGCGATCAATCAAAATCCACATCTATCTTTTTACTGTCGCAAGCAGTTGAAGGAATGCGAGTTTCCATACAGTTCAAAGATGATCACGGCTGGAAAAAGATGCATTATCGAGTTCTGCGGAAAAACGCACACGAGGCGAGCTTGATACTCAGCAGTTGGTTCTAATACAAACTCGAATAATTTGAATACGATCTTTATTCGAATACGAATTCGAGAAAACATTCGAATAAAATCTATTCAAAACCCTGTTTTTTGATTATTCGAGTTTCGAATTTTATTCGAAACCCGTTTTTTGAATATTTGAGTTTCAAGTTATTTTCGAAAATGGGAAAACTTAACGAATATATTCGAATGTTTTATGAATGATCAAATTTTTACTCGATTCGGACCCAAGTATAATGCACAACCCTCTAATAGCTGCGCTGGAAGAGTGACATTGCCGGCGCTGAGCTCCCTAGTTGTAAATATGTTCGATAGTGAGGGATGTCTAATTGCTCGTTGATCGCTACATGCCTACCGGTTTCGTCTACGTACTGATCTTCACATGATTGATACGTCGTACGTAAAGCATTTAAGATAAACTGCTGCTTTGGAAACCTGTAAAAAGCTTTGGAATCAGCTCGGAAAGCTGGATTCAGATGTATTATACTATAGTGGCAACGCAACGTGTCGATGAGAATTGCTAGGTTGTTCCGAAGGTTTGTATGAAAATTTCAATCAAAATTTTGTATCAAAACTTCAATCGCTTATATTTTTATTACAAGACCAACCTCAATGGAGATAATCACCGTGGATTTCAGTAATCTTTTGCCCGTCTGTCGGGCAGTTCTTCGGCGCCATTTCTCCAGAAGTCGAATGGCTGGCGCAGAAAAGTCTTCAAAGCGATTTTGACATTCTTTTTCTTTCTTTTTTTTTGAACCGTTTCCCATTTAGGAACTGCTTCAGCGGACAAAACAGCTTGTAATCGCAGGGCGAGAGATCGGGGCTATGCATGGATAAAGAAAGCACCTGCCATTCTGATTCGGCTAATTTTTACTGGGTTGCTGAAGCTCGATGAGCCGCGGCGTTGTCGTGAAGTAAGTACATGGCTGCAAGTTTCCGGCTTTTTTCTCGAATTGCGGCTACAATATTTCAAGCTGTGTGTGTACAGGATAGAGGTAACGGTATAGCTCGCTCATAGTAGACCATCCCTCGAATCAAACCAGCAGCAAAGCATAACTTTGCGGTGGCTGCGTTCCATTTTCGGCTGTTCTTCTCGTGGTAGGCAAAAGGCACGCCTCTTCACATTATCGTAGAAATCCAGCTTTCATTCCCAGCAATCACATTCTCTAGGAGATCTTTGTGGGTAAAACAGGAAAGTTGGCAGAAGTTTACTTTTTTCACTTCTTCACTAAGTCCACAAGAAATCGCGTGCGAAGGGGAAAGGGGACGAGCTGAGAGCAACTCCAGAATCACCATTCAGTGTAATTAAAAAACCCATTCACACAGCACGTTTCGAAATAGATAAATCAATAGCGCTGGCAAAACGGTCGAAAGGAAACCCACGTTTTAAAATCAATCATAATCTATTAGGTTGTCAAGAAAATAATGTCGTTTTTTATTTGCTTGCTTGAACAAAGCAACCAGACTTAACCCAATAAAAGGTAATAGGTATTGTTCGATAGAGCAAAACAAGCTCTACAAGAAGGCGTCCATGATTATGCGCCAAGCTCGATCCACGGATAGATCGAACTCAAAATCTGAAGATTTTCAAATGCCCAAAAAATCGAAAAAAAATCAGATCTTCGTCCAAAAAATTTCTACGGACCTCCACTCGCACACGTGAATACTTTCGATATCTGATATCCATATGTGCAGCTGCTGTACTTTTTCCTTGACTAGAAACTGAGAAAACGAAAATTTCCATATTTTTCTAAAAGCAATGCTGAGCCGTTCTTGCTTATGTGATTCTATACTACAAGCCAGGTAAGTATAACTATAGATTTTCAGCCTATTCCGAGCTGTAGTTTTTGAGAAATGTCACTTTTAGCACCAAAACTGAAAAGAAAAAAGTTGATTTCGACATTTCTCAAAAACTACTGCTCGGAATGGGCTGAAAATCTATAATACTTAACTAAGCTTGTAGTATAGAATTACATATGCAAGAACGGCTCAGCATTGCTTTTAGAAAAACACGAAAATTTTCGTTTTCTCAGTTTCTAGTCAAGGAAAAAGTACAGCAGCTGCACATATGGATATCAGATATCGAAAGTATTGACGTGTGCGAGTGGGAGGTCCGTAGAAATTATTTGGACGAAGATTTGATTTTTTTCGATTTTTGGGCATTTGGAAAACTTCAGATTTTGGGTTCGATCTATCCGTGTATCGAGCTTGGCGCAAAATTATAAACGTTATCTTGTAGAGCTTGCTTTGCTCTATCGAACAATACCCATTACCTTTTATTGGGTTGAGTCTGGTTGCTTTGTTCAAGCAAGCAAATAAAAAACGACACTAATATATATAAACAAAACCGATTCTCTGTAAATTTGTTCGTTTGTAAGTATGTGGTTTATAGACTCTCTTTTGTGTGAACCGGTGGGGATAAAATTCGTCCCCCTATAAATAAGGTACAGCGCAGAAGATAGGATACTTATTGCAACGATTTGTTAGGCCCTTCAATCGATTTATCGATTTGTTTATTTACATCGATGGTTCACCAACCATTGTTGGATCATTTCCTCATAGTCATGTAAGTTAGGACGCCACCGTTCAACCCACAATCGATTGGACTCGCTGAATGCTTCGTTGGAACTTTCAAGAGAGGAATTATGAAGCTAAAGGGAGAAGAAAACCTTTCTGAAGCCTTGTCGAAGTTATCACTTTGCTATCGGTGTACGCCCTCCCGCCCTCGCCAGATAATCGTTTCACGGCTGAGATGTTTCTCGGACGAAGGATTAATACTCCGCTTACACGTTTGGTCACTGACGCTTAGACTGTTAAACCAAGCTACTCCCCGGAACGAATCCTGGGATGGAAGCTCAATACATCCGCAGACACGGAGCCAAGAAAAAACACTTCGTTATCCATGCTGTCTATGCTCGCGACTACCGCAATCCAGCAATCCTACTTGAACCCCAGGAATCTTACAAGCAAGATTGGACGCGCTCTACAACGTAGAAGTTGAAAGATTCACATGGAATCGCCATGCCAATCAGCTACGCCCTCGAGAGTTTCCGATGCTACCAGCACGCTATTGGAAGAGTTAAATTTTTCGGATTTTGAGCTCCCCAGACAGTCGACTCCCGCCGTGTTCGTTGATGTTCCTGCCGCCGACGCCAATCACATTGATGTTGTGCCAAATCCTGATAATGCTGCGCCAATACCGAAAAAAGGGACGCTGATGAATCCGTTAGTCGAATGTCTTCGCGTCCTGCTCGTGCCGCTCGCAAAGGACTCGTCAACCACCATGCAGTTTCAAGATCGACCCTCGAAGAAACGATACAATTGACTAATTAGAAAGGAGATGTTGTAGAGTGACACTAGGTTGCTTGTAAATGTAGTAAATGAACCTATATAGTATATATCTCTTTTTTTGTTTACAATCATCCTTTAGGCTATATAAGAGCTTCCTCTTGCGGTAATATTCATCCTTTATTCTTCCTTCATTCCTCGCT